CAGAATAGTCTGATGTCGGAGCATATCCTTGAAGGATTGTAGAGCTTTGAATATTGTCAAAAGCTCGAGGGAGTTGATATGCTTCTTCGATCCTTGTTGGTCCCAAGCACCCTGAGTGCAAAGAGTGGAACACACTGCTCCCCAGCCAACCAGCGATGCGTCGGTACAAAGAGTCACTGTAGGTTGCAGGGGTCTTTCAAATTGGCTGGAACTGTCCACCATATCAGGGAGTGTAGTATGGAGAACGGAAGTCGGGTTAGTTTGGTAGGCAGATCTTGTGGTCGAAACATTTTGTTGAAAAAAAGTTGAAGAGGTCGAAGTCGAAGCCTGGCATCTGGAACAATAGCCACCAACACGGCCATATGTCCCAAGAGTCCCTGGATAGAGCAGGCAGGAACTGTTCTGTCCCGTCAGATTCGATGAATGTGCAAACCAAGGTTGCGCTGTGGATCCTGAGGGAGAAACGCCCTCGCCACCATGGAATCCAAGCGGGCTCCAATGAAGTTGATTATCCAGGAATAAGAGGATTTCTCGAGGGTAATACAAAGTCCAAGGTCCTTCAGCAGGGCACAAGTTGTTGTCGGGACACTAACAACCAGTTGTCTAAATAAGGATATATTTGAACACCCGAGTTGAATATATGCGTAGACTGGAGCCATACATTTTGTAAAGACCTGTGGGGCAGTAGCCAGCCCGAAAGGGAGCAAATTGAATTCAAATATTTCAGAGGCAACAGTAAATCGGAGGAAGCGCCTATGACATGGATGGATGGAAATGTGAAAATAGGCGTCCCTCAAGTCCAGTGAGGCAAACCAATTCTCTCTCCTCAGCAACAGAAGGATATTTTGAAGGGTGGTCATTCTAAATTTCTTTGGTGTAATAAACTTGCGTTTCGTAGGTCCAATACTGGGCAGAGACCACCATCCCGTTTAGGGACTGTAAAATACCTCGAATAGAATCTGTGAAGCCCTTCAGATTGGGATAGCTGACGAATTGCTTCTTTACGAAGAAGCTAGTAAACTTTGTCTAGTACTACCTGCAAGCATGGTGTGAACCAGATCGGGCTCGATGGAGGAACGATGTTGAATTCTATATCCGTGCTGTATGATGGATAAAACTCACCAATTTATTTATTTATTAAAACATTTTATGCCGCCCCATTCACCGAAGCCTCGGGGCGGCTTACAACACTAAGCTAAAATAATTATAAATCAAAAATATTAAAAGTACAAAAATACAGTATAAAATCAGATGTGATGGACTCCCAAATGGGGAGTCGGCTTTGCAGCTGGTCCCCAAATGAAAGAGGGAAAGGTGGGAGTGGGAGAAGAGGAAAGGTCCGCCCGGCCCGTTAGCGTTGGCGCTTGGTCACTATCAAAATGGTGATGGCCTTGTTGGAAGCGCTGAGAAGGCTGTTGCTTACGGCGTTGCTGACGTCGGTGGTACTGTTGCCTGGGCTGGTAATGTTTAACTTGTTTTGGCATTGAAGAGTTCTGACCCATCAAAAGGCATCTCTTTGATTCTTGTTTTCATCTCCTCCGGGAAGTTGCAACTGCGCAACCCAGCATGCCTCTGGAGGGAGATGGCACCGACCAGGGCCCTCGAGTCAGTATCTACATGATGCTTAGCCGTGGAAAGTTTATTATTTATTTATTTTATTAAAACATTTTTATGCTGCCCCATTCGCCGAAGCCTCGGGGCGGCTTACAATGTTAAGTTAAAAAATAATAATATTAAATTAAAAAATACAAGCATAAAGTTAAAATGCAAAAATAACAATATAAAATAAGTCACCCTGGCCAGATAAAATCCAATAATATTAGCAATTAAAATGCCGTTTAAATAAAAAGGTCTTCACCTGGTGCCGAAAAACAAATAACGACGGCATAAGTTGCTGGATTGCAATTTGCATGGCCTCTTTAATGAAGACCTTTGCCAGATCTCCTTGATTGTCTGGAAGAGCGGAGATGATGTTACCAAGGCGCTGCATGATAAAATACTGGTAGCGCGCCAATGTCGCCTCATAATTGGAGATGCGCAGGCCGAGCCCAGAGGCCGCATAGACTCGACGTGTGAGGAAGTGGATATTTCTTCCCCCCCTTATCGCGGGGAGCCGTGTGATCTCTTGACTAACTGCCCTGTGAGAACTTCACCGCAACCAAGTTCGGTTTAGGATGTTGTAGGAGGAACGGGGTGTCCTCCTCCCGAACCTGGTACATGGATTCGTACCGCCTGAATGTAGCCTGAGGATGGGCGGGCAGATCCCATGGCTGGACCATCACTTGACGCAACGTTGTCATCAGCGGCAGGGCGATGGAAGTCGACTGTTCACCTCGGACCACGTCATAGAATCTGTCGGTGCTGGGACTGGGCTGTGGCTGAGCCTCAGTCTTCAGTGACTGGACCAATCTAGACATTAACTCCGCAAAGGAGCTGTAGGGCCTGGGGAGGTAATGGCTATGTCTAGACAGGTGGAATCAACTTCGGACTCGTCCGAGTCCACTCGGTAACGTGCTGGAGCGCTAGAGGAGGCATCTCCTGGCGACATGGACCGACGCCTTTCCCTAGGCTCCGGTACCGTCGGTGTGCCCCTCAGCACCGATGACGAAGGTCGATCCTGAGGGGTCGGGTATTTTTATTTATTAAAATATTTGTATGCCGCCCCATTCGCCGAAGCCTCAGGGTGGCTTACAACAATAAATTAAAATAATTGTAATCATTAAAATATAAACATTACATTAAAAATACAAAAATACAATATAAAATAAGCCGCCCTGGCCAGATAAAATGCAATAATATTAAGAGTTAAAATGCTGCTTAAATAAAAAGGTCTTTGCCTGGCGCCGAAAAACAAATAACGACAGCGCCAGGCGGACCTCTCTGGGGAGCGCATCCTATAACTTAGCCAAATGAATGGTAGTCCCCCCCATCCCAAGTAATAGGAGTGTCGGGGATGGTCCCAGTCATCGGAATGCCTCTCGGATGAGCGGCTTCAGCGCCCTGGGGGAGACATCTCCGTCTCTGCATCCAACCGCGCCAGTGGCGTAGGTGTAGGAGATCCAGCTCTTGCGGGGAGTCACGGATCTTGCCGTCTGAGATCGACTCACACTGCAGAGCCTGAAGTGGGTGAGGCGACTCGCTTTTCTTCCTGACCAGACGTCGAGGGGATTCTGGAGGGGTAGCCCTCATGGCCGCCTGAAGTGTCGGGCCCGATGGAGTCGGTACCACGGCAGCGGCCGGGACCAAGGGCGCTGACGAGCCCGATTCACGGTATTTGGCTTGCTCGGGCTTTTTGGTTTTACGGGCCAGTTTCTCGGCCTTATCCTTCTGGCCTTCTTATGTGTAGACGATTTTTCAGAGCCGCTATGCTTTCTAATCTGTTGTTTTTTGGGATAGGAAGCAGGCTGTTCTCCCATGGCTGATGTGCCTTCCTCTGAAGGGCGTGAGGGCGGAGTGGCCGAGGAAGAAGCAGGGCTTTGCGGCGGCACACCCGAAGTAGGAGCCCCGCGGGCGGCAAGTAGAGGCAGTCGACGTGGAAGTAGACCTTGCAGCCAGTTGGTCCGATTGCATGGCAGCCTGGTCCCAGAGTAGCTTTCGCAGGCGATTCTCTCTCTCTTCTGGCCTGCTTGGTGAAAGCCATACAATGGCCACATCTATCCGTCCTGTGGCCTTCCCCCAAACAGGAGGCACAGGTCGTGCAGGTCCGCTGGGGACATCATAGAACTGCACTCCATACATCTGCGAAAGGCTGCCCGTTGCGCCATCGCGAAAGAGAAAGGAGAGGATAGTGCAGAGAGGGTTGAGAAGAATATATATATATATTTTATAGAACAAGAAGAACGAACGAAGAATAATGAGAGACGAATATAATGAGATAATAGGATACGTAAACTTGGAGAAGAGAACAAGGAAGCAATAACCAGGAGAAAAACGAGCAACGATATGATCTAAGCGAGAGCGAAAGCGTCACGAGGCACAACAAACGGCGGTCGCAAAGACTGAGTAAAATGGCGGACACTCCGCTCTATATATACTGGGGACCGTTAGCTTTCAAACTTCCAGCCTTAGGCACTGTGCAGGCGCAGCACCCCGTATGTGTGATGCACAGAGGCCACGACAAAGAACAATCAATCAGATGAAACTGATGCATAGCAAAACCCACCAGTGCAGAAAGTTGCTCATTATATATGTTTATTTTTTAAATTTATATACTGCAACTTAGAGGCCAGTTTAAGGTTCTCTGGGTGGTGTACATCCATTAAAATCAACAGTAAGGAGACTTGGAAACGAGCTTTAAAAAAGGCTGGGCAGAAGATGGAAGATAGTGGAACCTATACAAGAGCTTCCACAGAAGCCTTCTATACTGGGAAGTCGATCTCAAAGGATACCTGAGAAAGTAGTCTCTGTTACCTTTAATTAGGATTCACCCTTTTGCCTTGGCAAAAAAACCCATGCTGTTTGCATGTCTGGCTCTGCCAAGTGATTCACAGATGGGAAAAAAAGCATTCAGCACCATCTATATGCAAATATGATTTAATCAATGGGAGAAGAATGTGTATGTTTCAGAAAGATGCCTATTTGGAAAAACAAATCCAAAGGTAAACAAAGGTCACGATTCCATAGGGACTTAAGTTGGAGCAGAGTGTGAGTTGGAATCCTTGGAACTCAAGTTTTGGAGTTGCACAGCTCCTGAACTATCATGTTGCTTTAGGAAGTATTTATTTAGTTATTTATGAAAAGCTTTTATACCATCTTATCACAGATGATTATACAATATGGATGATTATACGATAAGGGGAACAGCATCATTGCTTCTTAAATAAAACCAATTGAAACAACAATTAAGACTTGAAATGTGGAAAGGTTTTGGCCTGGTGCCAGATGTATCGCTGGGGAGTATATTCCATAACCAGGGTGCCACCGCAGAGAAGGGCCTTCTCCGGATAGCCAGTCCTGATCTCCTTCAAAGAGGGCTCCCAGAGCAGGACCTCCAACCCAGATCTTAGGGGTGGGCAGGTATGTATGGAAGGAGGCACTCCTTCAAATATCCAGGTTCTAAGCCAGTTAGGGCTTTATAAGTCATAAATTGTGCCTGGACTTCAATTGGAAGCCAGGGCAGATGGGACGAGACCGGTGTAATATATGCATATCTGCCGGTCCCTGTTCGCATCATGGCTACTCTGTTCTGAACCAATTGACGTCTCCGGACCATCTTCAAGGGCAGCGCAATAGCCAAGTAGGACTATTGTTGTTTATGCCTAAGGGTCTTATTTATGTCGGCTGAATCTCAGGATTCATTTTTCCATTTCTCTGTTCCCCCATAGCTGAAGCACTTCAAACGCAAGCAATTCCATGTATGCAAATTTCACTCTTGGGCTTTTAGCAACATCTGTATTGGCTCATTGGATCCTCTGCCCATGGAGGGTAGCTTGTGGCCAGCTTGTGGGAAATCTCGACCTTGATGGGCCACCCCCAAGCTTTGAAGAAAGGTCCCAGATTTTTCTGCACTTGCTGGGAGAACATTTCAGCCCAGAGATTCATCTTTGATTTGTTGTCAGGTGGGATGTCAGTCTTCGTTTGGTACTTGGCAAAGATGCGGATGTAGGGCTCCCATCCAAATGCTTCCTGCAGCTGAAGAAAAGCATTCATCGGTCATTTTCCTGAATGCTTCAGAATGGTTTTATTTATTTGCATTTATATACCACCCTAATAGCCCAGAGGGCTCTCTGGGTAGTTTATAAACATTAAAACCCCACCAATCTTAAATAATTGGCTATATCATAGCTAAGTATAAAATAACATAGTTAAAAGGATTATATAAATAAATAGGCTATTAAAATTAATTAACTTTAAAATATTGGTTAAATAAAAAGGTCTTGACCTGGCTTCGAAAAGCATATAATGAGGGCACCAGGCGGACCTCTCTAGGGAGCACATTTCATAGTCGGGGTGCCACCGCAGAGAAGGTCCTTCTCCGAGTGCTCTGTCTCCTGACTTCTTTCAAAGAGGGCTCCCAGAGCAGGGTCTCTGCTGACGATCTTGGGGGTTTAGCACATCAGAGCTTCTGCATGTATACAAATGTGTCAGATTTACACGACTTTCAGCTCTTGTGGCTTCTGGAGGATCCTGGGAAGAAGAAACAGGACCCACAGGAGCAACTCCTGCAGTCTCTCCCGGGACTCGAGCTTCTCCCAAACATCACTTAGCAACCTGTGGCCAGGAAAGCATCTTCAGTCCTTTTGGCCTGTTTCAGTGGGATCTCTCTTCATTGCATGTTTTCCCCTTAATGAAATTTGGTTTTCAATGTCCTTAGGACCTTTTATCTAGCATAAAAGTGACCACTGGAAATAAAAGAACCAGTGAGGTGCTGAGAGACCAGCTGCTATTTGGACTTTCCGCTTTTTGGCCTCAAGCTGATAGGCTCATTTAAACATGCTTTGGAGTAAGTTCCTCACGACCTTGGGACATAACATTCAAAGAACTATGCTGAATTAAGACAGCTTGAATTATGTTAGAGTGGGCAGTAGGGGTAGGGTCTTAATAGAAAATTCTCCTATCCTTATGGTTAAGATTGGGTTTGAGAGCACTGTGGATTCTGGGAGCTGGAGTCCTTCCTCTACCTGTGGGCTACAGATCCCAGCAGGCTGTGGAAGGGTTTGGCCTGGCTCCTTGTAAAGAGGAAGATCTCGACATGGGCAGAGATCTGGAACCGAAACCTTTCTGGAGTTGTAAGGATCTTAAGTACCAAAACACAAACTGAGCTCCCATTTCCTTATTGCTCCGCAAACTCCCAATGCCAGAAGGAAGATAATGTTGCTCTTTTCAGGCATTGCTTTCTTTTCAGAATTACACAATCCAAAGATTTTCTTCCGCAGAATGTGAGGTGTTCTGAACATGTCTTGTGAACTGGTTCGTCCCAGGTTCTGCCTTGTGCAACTTGGCTTGGGGTAAGGAAGGCCCCCCAGCTGCCTGAAGCTCTGGGGGGGGGGGCAGTTGCCGGTCCATGCCACTGCTTGCAGCCCCTCGCAGCTGAGTCTGCTTGGCCAGTACCAGTGACCAGGAATTGGCCCACCGCATCCCCCAAGGGCTGGAACTGGGCACCGGGGGAAGCAGCGCTCCGGCGAGCGCTCCTCCGCCTGGCCTCTCGGGCAGGTGGGTGGCTGGACCATGGCTGGGCCAAAGCCCCGTCCTGCCACGGCCGGACAGTCCTGAAGTTGGGAGGCATCCTTGCAGATGATTGAGTGTGAGTCGGAGGGGGTTGTGGAGGAGCTGCCGGGAAGGGAAGGAAATGGGAGCAGGTAGGGAGGACGAGGCCTGGGCAGCCACTCTGGCGAGCTCATCAGCAGCCTCGTTGCTGGGATGGCAGCCACAGCATCCGGGGCATGAATGGCCGACTAACAGAAGGGCACCAGGGCCCAGGCAAGCAGGTTGGGGCACAAAGGCTGGTCCAAAAGCACAGCCAAACAGGCCAAGAGCAGAACTGGGGCTTGAAGCACTGGGCAGATGCTGTTCAGGAGGTTAGTGTGGCCAAACAAGCCAGGAGTCGGGAAACCGAGGGGGCAAGCTGAGGAGAGCTGGTAGCTGGAGTGGGAGAAGGAGCCGGTGAGGACCAGGAAGGCAGGCAGGGTCCGAGAGCAGGATCATCTTAAGCAAGGTCCAAGAGTAGCAGGAATACGGTCACAGGTGGAGCAGGTCACAGGCAGAGTTCTGGGAGCAGAGACCAAGAGACCAAGAAACCAGGAGGACTTCGTTGGCAAGGCAGCTTCCGCAGGGAAGAGCCCGTTCTTATCTAGTTCTTCCCCCAGGGCTCCCAGGTGGAGCTCGTGAGAGCTCTGGCAGCTGCAATAGATGGGGTAGTGGTCCCGCAACCTCAAGGGCTGCTGTGCTGGTCCATGGCCAGCAGAAGGAGCCCCAAAGCTGCCTTGGGTCTTGGCAAGTGGACGGGCGTGTGTGTCAGCCGGGCGCTGGGTCCGGTGAGCAAGTGGTAATGGCTGAGAGGAGGGCTCGGCCGTCTGAACGCTTCTTGGTCACTGTTGCAGGATGCGGCTCCCCAGCCAGGGCAGGGCCAGAGCACTCGGTTCTGCTTTAGTGTAAGATTCTCTTCCTTGTTCTTGGATTTAACGGCATTTATACATGGTGTGACTGTCTTTTCAACGTGCTTTTGGTTACAGCAATGCAAAAATATGCGGGGGGGGGAGTTGTTTTGGCTGCATCGGGGAGAGGACCCTGTTGGGTTCTGAGTGGGCCTTTTCTGGCCCTGCAGAATTTTGGCCTCCCAAGTCTTGTCAGCCCCTTTCAGGATTGCCAGTGGTGAGCAATGCCGGGAGCTGTAGGGCACAGCTTACAGGCGCCGTGCTGTCCGCTCCGTCTTCAGTGTGGCTTATTCCCAGGGAAGGGACCCCAGATGGCAGTCGGCCTGCACGGGCTTGGAAGACCTCCTAGACACCCTAACCTGAACTCGGGATGCAAGGATCAGGCTGGACTCAGGTTCTTGGGCTCAACCAGGAAGCAAACTGAGTGGAGATGGATGAAATGCAGTTCCTTGCGCTGGTGTGAGTGCACGTTGGCCTCACAGACTTGCTTCCGGCCAGACGCCTGTGTGGACGCTCAGCCCAAGACAGACTCAAGGCAGAGAAAGGCAGACCAGAGTGTGGGGAGGATTCCCAACCCCGAACCGAGTTCTTCCCCACTCATTCCTAACCCCAGTGCACGCTCCCTTCCCGTTACCTGCAGGTAAGGCTCCAGAGCAGTGAACACTTCGAAGTCTTTCAGCTGCGCTCCGTTTCGAATGTAGTCCTGGATCCTCTTCTGCCTTAGATGCGGTTTAAGGTCCGGATGGGCTTTGTGCCTTGGAATATTCAGCACCGTCTCATTGGCATAGACGGACCAGAGATTGCAAGTGGCTTCAGAGGTGTGAGGCCAGAAGTCCCATGCCTCCCTTTGCTGGTTGTGACCGAGCTCGTGGATTGGGCCCCAGGTCCCTTTGGCGAAGAAGGCCTGCACATCTGTGATCTCTTGCAGTGCCCTCACGTCGGCCATGATTGGGTAGCCAGCGTGCATCCAACCTGAGAAGAGAGTTGGGTTGCTGAAGGCATATTTGGGCAGACACGTGCTTAGAAACGGAAGCCGAGGGAATTGGCTGTAGGTCAGGCACCCCCGAAGGGAAGGCAGGGCTGTTCTGCGGGAGGCATTATTGCTCTGTCCCCTGCCTCATCCAGTTCCAGTTTTGTTGCAGCACTGGGACCCCAGCGACACACGCGAGAGCTCTTTCCTCTTGCTTTCCCAGTCGGTGCAGCTTGCACTGTACCGAAACAGTGTGAATGTGGACCCTCAGTACTTCTGTTCTTGAAATGGGAAAGTACAGTAAAGCCTTGGATGGCAAGCGTAATTTGTTCGGGAACGTACTTGTGATCCAAAGCACTTGTCTATCAAATTTCCCCATGAGGTTCAATATAAATAAGGTTAATCTGTTCTGTAACTTTTCTTATTTGCAACAAATTGAAGTGGGCGCGCTCGGGGGGAGGCGGGCACGATCACAGGCGTGCTCGGGGGGTGGCGGGGGGAGATGCCGTACTCACACCCGCAGCGAGAGAGAGAAGAGCCGGCGCTCAGTTGTGACGTGACGCTCGGAAGGCAAAGCAAGGGTAATACTCGTTCTGCAAGACTTTGCTCGTTTATCAAGTTAAAATTGAGAAAAACTTTTTGCTCATCTTGCAAAACACTCGCAGACCAAGTTACTCATAATCCAAGGTTTTACTGTACTGTGGAAAAATACGGGGGCCCTTCTTCATGAACCTGTCCCCCCAAATGAAGAGAGGGGAGAATTATTTTCCCTTATTTTCCCAATATTTTAACAGTTAATTGGTTTTATCTTTGTTTTTACCATGTTTTATCGGATGCAGTGTGTTTGTTGTATATGGTTGCTTTGTTTTTTGTAAGCCATCCAGAGACCTTTAGTATGGGGACAGCATAGAAAAGCTTTAAATAGATAAATAAATAGGTGAATTGTTAATGCAGACTGTTGGTGCGGGACCCAGGTCAGAGCAATGCAGCCCCCAAACTTGTGTGAATTGGCTGTGCCTGTGCTTCATTTAATGGTGTGTATCGTTGTTCCTTTAACTCACCTTAATTATTGCCACTACGATATTTTATTATGAAGTTTTTATTTACTTACTTATTAAAACATTTCTATGCCGCCCCATTCACCAAAGCCTCGGGGCGGCTCACAACATAAAATACAAGAAATAACAATATAAAATAAGTCGCCCTGGCCAGTTTTTATATGGTGATCTTACTGTTTTGCTGTGTTAAAGAATTGTGTTCTGTTTTAAAAATGGGGAAAGGGAAAGGATTTGAGCCTTCAAAAGGCTCATCACAGTTGAAATGTTTGAAAGAGGGTTTTTCCCCCCTGAATGGAACATGCATCATTGCGGGTGGGAGGCACTGTATTGTAATAATTATTTTAATTGTATGTTTGTTTCTATTTAAAAAAATAAAGTTAATTTTTTAAATATATTGCTCTGATTATTTTAAGTTGTCTCGAGATTCCCGTCTGGATAATTGGTGGCATGCAAGTGCAGAAATGCTCGGTACAGTAGCTCATTTAGCATTTGTGGGATAAGAACCTGCCCTGTCCCCTACGTTAACCAGTTTCTTCCTGTTCTAGATCGTGATGGGCATCGCGTATACTTGCCATGAGATATTTGAACGTCGGTCACGATTCTCTCCGGTCTGGGAAACACTGGTGGGATGGATGCCAGTTTGGCTACCGCCTTCATGATCTGGGCCCAGGTGTTGAGCAGGAGCTCGGGGTCGCTGATGCTGCGCGCTTCATCCGAGGGAAACGTCAAGATGATATTCTCGGTTTCTAGCTCAGCCCACGGAGCAGGGTAGTGGCAGATGGTGCTCTTCCAGAAGTCCAAATTGGTCTCGCCTAATATTTAAAACAGAATAACTCCAAACACCATATTCTAGAGATATTGGTGGTGGGTGGAACTGCTGCCTTCTCTGGTGTTCTGGAGTCCAAGTGGACTTGCTGGCATGTTCAGAGGTTGATGCGCTGTTAGTCTCAGAGTCGGCCCGTTACACCGATGGGACTGTTTTAGCTTGCCATCTTTATGCTACTTGATTTTATTTATTTACAATATTTTTACCCTGTCCTTTACAAACGTCCCAGTACAGTTTAGTACATAAGTAAACCATAACAATAAATGAATATAACAAAATACAATAACATATCAAGCATATTAGAATGTGATTGAGAGTGACCATATTAAAAACCTTATTGAGATGTTTAAATATTAAACTACTGGGCAAATAAAAAGTTTTTTTACCTGGCACTGAGAGGAATATAATGTTGGTGCCAGGCGAACCTTTCTGGCAAGCACATTCCACAGAGCACCAGTCAGCGCTCCTTCAGGTAACCAGGACCCAAGCCGTTTAGGACTTTATAGATCATCACCAAGACCTTGAATTAGGCCCGGACTTCAATGGGAAGCCAGTGAACCTGACGGAGGACTGGAGTCATGTGAACATAATGCCCAGTCCCCGTCAGCAGCCTGACAGCTCTACTTTGAACCAATGGAAGTATCTGGACCGTCTTCAAGGGTAGCCCCATGTAGAGCGCGTTACAGAAGTCAAGGCGGGAAGTCACCAACACGTGTGTCACTGTCGCCAGGCAGTCGTACTCCAGATAGGGGCGCAGCTGATAAATCAGCCGAAGCTGAAAGCACTCCTCGCTACCGCTGTCACCTGAGCTTCCAGTGAAAGCTCAGGGTCGAGGAGCACTCCCAAGCTGCGGACCTTGTCCCTAAGAGGGAGTGCAACCCCATTCAGGACTAGGTTCAATTCACCCTCTCTGAAGCCCGATCCGCCAACCAACAGGACCTCTGTCTTGTCTGGATTGAGCTTCAGTTTATTGGCCCTCATCCATTCCCTTACCTGGGCCAAGCACCGGTTCAGCACAGCCACTGCCTCACCTGGATTGGTGGAAAACGAGAGGTAGAGCTGGGTATCATCAGCGTACTGGTGATTCCGCAGCCCACACCTCCTGATGACCTCTCCCAGTGGTTTCATGTAGACGTTAAACAGCAAAGGGGACAAAATAGACCCCTGCAGTACTCCATGGCATAGCTGCCATGGTGCAGAGCCATAGTCCCCCAGCACCACCTTCTGGAACCGGCCGTTGAGATATGAGCGGAACCACTGCAAAGCAGTGCCTCCGACCCCCAATCCTGCTAGCTTATCCAGAATGATACTATGGTCGATGGTATCGAAAACCGCTGAGAGGTCCAGAAGAACCAACAGGGATGCACTCCCCCTGTCCTTCTCCCTGCACAGGTCATCGTATAGGGCAACCAAGGCAGATTCAGTACCGTATCCAGGTCTGAAGCCGGACTGAAATGGGTCCAGATAATCAGTTTCATCCAAGAGTGCTTGGAGTTGTCCCGCCACCATCCGCTCCAACGCCTTGCCCAGAAATGGGATGCTGGCCACTGGTCTATAATTGGTGGCCATCTCTGGATCCAGTGACGCCTCCTTTAAAGGGGCAGGTACCCGACCCTCCCTCAGGGAAGCGTTAACTACTTCCAAGATCCAGATCCCAATCCCTATCCTGTGCTTGGCGTTGTTTATTAACCAAGGTGGGCAAGGGTCCAATAGGCAAGTGGTGGGACGTACTCTTTCAAACCCCTTGTCCACATCATCAGACCACAATAACTGAAATTCATCCCTTAGTTTTGGACCAGACGGCGGCATTGGTATCTCCCCAGAAGCCTCTGAATCACTAGTAGAGTCTAGCTTGTGACGAATCTAAGCAATTTTCTCTCTGAAATGCTTGGCAAAGTCGTCACAACGGGCCTTCGAGGGTGGAATCAGAGCTTTCTTAGGGCCAGGGCGGACCAGGCCTTGTACCACTCGAAAAAGCTCCGCCAGATGGCATTTTGAGGAGGCAATGCAAATGGAGAAGAATTTCTTTTTCTCCTCCCTCACTGCAACAGCATCGGCCCGATAATGGGCTCTTATGTGCGGTCAGGTTCATCCAGTGATCTTCTCCACCTACGCTCTAGCTGTCTCCCAGCCTGCTTCATCGCCCACAATGCAGGTGTATACCAAGGGGAAGAGTGGGCTCTGCCTGGTGGGAGAGGACGCTTAGGAGTGATCGTGTCAACAGCCCTAGTCATCTCTCCATTCCATAGTTCGGCCAGAGCCTCGACAGGAGCACCAGTCTTGTCAGCCGGAAACTCCCCCAGGGCCTTCAGGAATCCATCCAGATCCATCCGTGTCCGCAACCTTACAGAGGGAGAGGCTGCTCTCAAGCACAAACCTCACGAGGAAGTGATCTGACCATGACAGGCATCAGACATAAATTCCTCACTCTCAGACCACTCTCTTCCTGCCCCATTGAGAAAACCAGGTCCAGAGTGTGTCCATGTTCATGGGTCGGGCCTGTGACATGTTGAGATAGATAGCCCCATGGCCGTCATGGAGGCCATGAAGTCCTGAGCTGCCCTGGTCAGACCAGTCTCGGCATGGAGATTGAAGTCCCCCAGGACCAACATCCTGGGGGGTCCTCAACACCAGGTCTGAGACTGTCTCCTTCAGCTCAGGCAGGGAGGCTGTTGGGCAGAAGGGTGCACGGTACACCAACAGAATCCCCAATCTGTCTCGGTCGCCCAACACCAAGTAGAGACACTCCAGCCCTAGTCTCGAAGGAACAGGAAGTCCCGTGAGGGAGATGGAGGCTTGGTAAACCAAAGCGATCCCCCTTCCACTCCCCTCCAGGTGTGGACGATGCTGAACCAGATACCCAGGCAGGCACATTTGAGAGAGAGTATCATCCTCCCCCTCTCCCGCTCAGGTCTCCGTTATGCAAGCCAGGTCGGCTCCCTCATCCACAATCAAGTCATGGATGAGGGAAGGTTTATTCCTGGCGTGCTGGGGGAGCAGAGAGGGGTGCGGAAACCCGCCCGGTGGCGAGATAGCGGCGCCCTCCTCCGCAACGCCTGGCGTGCCCTGGCGTCCTCCATCCCTGGGGTGGCCCAGCGGTGGCCGCGGGAGTGGCATCAACTGGCCCCCGGCTCGGCAGTGCGCCTCAGGTCCAGCGGCAGCAGTGGCAGCGTGGCGCGGCAGGTGTTACGGGGAGGGAGCTCCAAGCCGGCCCAGCCGCCTGCGCTCCCCGCCCCAATCTGGCATTGCTCTCACCGATGTAGGTGGTGGGTGGGGGGAGCAGCGGTGGCGAAATCAACGGCGGCCCTGGCGTGCTCTGTCCCCGGGGTGGCCTAGCGGTGGCCGCGGGAGCGCCTCAGGTCCGACAACGGCAGCGCGGCACGGCAGGTGTTCCGGGGGCGGGGGAGGGAGCTACAATCTGGCCCAGGCCCAGGCCGGATGCGCCCACCCGCACGCCCCGCCCCAATCCGGCGTTGGTCTCCCGGTGTCGGTTGCCCAACACCAAGTGGAGGCACTTTAGACCCAGCTTCGAGAGGACCGGAAGCCCCATAAGGGAAATAGAAACTCGATAAACCAGAACGGCCCCCCCTCCCCTCCAGGCGTGGTCGGTGCTGGACCAGGTACCCGGGCGGGCATAATTGTGAGAGGGTAACATCTCCCCTCGCACCCACTTAGGTCTCTGTGATGTAAGCCAGGTTGGTCCTCTGATCCATGATCAAATCAGGGATGAGTGTTGCCTTATTTTGGACCGACCTGTCATTAAGCAGCAGCACCAACAGTTGACAAGTCTACCTGGAACGCGCCGGCTGGGGGAATAACCAGAAAGAGGGACAGGTGTTAACCATCTGTTCCCCGTGCTTCTATGCTGACCCGTTAGACCCCCAACGCCATAATGCCCGTTGCCCATCACCACCCCAATGGCAGTGCCCACACGCTCCCTAGGCAACATCATAGTAAAGCATGAGATGCAACAATTAAAAACAATCTAAAACCAACAATTAATACCATTAAAACATCCTACCGTCATCCACTGTAATCCACCGCTAACCCACAGATAAAACCAACAGATAAGACCAAACCACGGCCAAAGCCCCTGGCCAGCCCAGCCCCCTGCTTGGCTCCCGAACGGCGACCGCCCTTAGGCCATTGCCCCCGGCTGCCGCCAACGCCTTGTGGCCTGCAGGGCCCCTCCCCGTGCCCACCCCGTCCTGGCGCATCTCTCACGCGCGCCGGTGGTCCTGGCCTCTGCGGCAGGGCAGCAGCGGGCAGCGGAGCAGTGGAGAGGTCCGGGCGGCGCAGATGGAGGTGGGGCCATTCAGCGCACTGGTTTCCTCCCAGGGGGCCGGCCTGGCCGCCACCGGCACTCCCCGTGCCCCACCCTGTCCCAGCGCGTCTCTTGCACGCGTCGGGGAAGCAGGCCGGAGCAGGGTCCTGGGCCGGTGTTCCCAGCCTGTGCTGCAGGCAACTGCGTGCTGTGTGGGTGTTGCTTTTACCTTGCTTATAATAAGGAGCCAGTGTGGCCCCTTTGATGGTGACAGGCAGAGAGCCGAGGGAAGACTTTTCTGGCAATACGATGTACAGCAGGCCGCCCCACAGACTGGAAACCTCCATCCTGCAGCTCTTGACTTCAAATCTCCTTACCATCACGGGAGGGCGTCTCAGTTTTTTGGCTTTACTCAGGTTATCGGAATGACAACCGATCTGTACCTGGCGAAAGGTATGCTGGAGTCAAGACACACCAATGGTGGGGGATGCTACCTGCTACAAAATAGGATGCGGCCTAAGAAAACAACTGATCACAGCATGTGTTCTGAGGGTTTGATACGGGCTCACCTCCCTTGCATTTTGCCTCTGCGAGCTGGCTGGACATGCCGCATTTTGACCACATCTTTGAGTGGAAGAGAAGGAACAGAGTGGATGAAAGAGAACAGGGTGAGTTTCCGATGCAGGAGGTGCCTTGCCATTTATTCTTTTCTTAAACAAGTTTCTTTTTCTCCCCTCCCTTTCCCCCTCCCTGCAAGGGCCATGAGCTTCCCTCCCTCCCCTGCCAGAATGCTCCCCCCCCCCACAAAGCTTTTGGTGTGTCTGGCGGTGAATCCCTGATGCTTCCGAAGGGACAGGGAATCAGGATTGGGCCTTTCAGCATGTGGCTGCGTTGCATGGATTCACAGGGAAGGGGGAATTGTAGAACGCCAGCTCGGTATCAACAGGTGGTTGTAGGTGGTCAAGAAGTGGAGGTGAGTGGGTAGCGCAGGCATGGGGTGCCTCCCGTGGAGCACATTATGGTCTGGGCCAAAATGTCTTAGCCTTCAAGATTTATCATTGGTTTCGTGAGTTTGTGTGATGTATTTTGGGTGCTTTTAGAAAGGGGGTCCAGCCCGAGCAGGCTACAGTTCGCTCAGTTAGATCATCCGATTCCGAGGAGGAGAGGGCGTTGGGCAGAGGATTTGGCAATGTCAAGGGTACCTGGTGAAGGTTCTCAGGCAGAGCATGGGGAAAGGAGGGAGGGTTTTCAGAAGCAGCAGGAGAACAGATTTGAAGGGGATTCCTTGACCCTTTCAGGAGACAACAGGCAAAGCAAACAGACCAGTTGAGCGTCCAGCGTTCCACAGTCTAGCCCCGAAAAAGCAGGAGCTTCGGAAAGGGGAAGTTTCCACTTGGATCCAGCTTTTTCCATGGGCAGAGGTTTCTTCAAGGGATCGTTCCTTTGATTTGTGCTGCCTTGTTACCTGTTGAGCTTTAATGAAAACACTGGTGCTTTTGAAGTCTCAGTGGAAAAGGGAAGAGTTGCTCATGACAGTACTTAAGAAAAGAGCTGCATAAACCAAAGAAACGCAGATGATGGCAAGGCACAGTTCTCAGGGTGCTTCTAGACATGGTCTTTCAACCCTTTGCTGGGAGAGGATGTTCTGTCTGAGGGCCCCCCCACAAATTTTTATGGCTAAGTAGAAATCCAACCCGGATCACCTGTCCAAGACCTGCTTTCTAGGCATCGTGTTGTTCGTAGATGCCTTGGGTGGCATCTACAGGTATGATCCAGGTGACTTGATCCTTGTTTACTTACTCATTTTTTGTTTTTAAACTTACATGCTTCAAAATAGTTCAGCAGCGCATAGCAGTGAAAATGAGAAAGCATTTACAATACTCAGGCGAATAAATCATTGTAACAATAGCCTAGCAATGGTCTTTAAAATTATATTGAGGGGGTGAATGAAGGACAACAGTTAATGAATCATAGAATATAAACAGATGAACATTCTTTAAAATTGGTCTTTAAATATTGGTGTTTTTCAACCTGCTTGACAATCAGCTCACCTGTAATTTAGCCCCAATGGCCGTGGGTGGGAAGTCCAAGGTGGCAGTTTTTGCTGGAGGAATGTACATGCCGGTGCTTCTCCACGCTTCTGGTCCTGTAAGGCGAAACCATAATTTTGTTCACCTCTGCTTGAACATATCTCCTCTTACCTGCCTTGCTTTCTAAGCTAAGCAGACCCAGATCTTGCAGCTGTTCTTCACAGGGGAGGGACTCCCATCACTTCGTCCTTCTAGTGGCCCTTATCCGTTTTTAGGTGCTGGAACTCTGGAGCGCTACAGACTTCAAGAAGAGCACCAGGAGATGAGTGTCCAATTAGGCAGTGTCAACGGCGGGATACCCAGCCTGTGCTCTGCCATTCATGTCTTGGAACTTGAAGGGTCCATCAGAACCCTTCCCTAGAATGTTTGTGAGAACTCTGCTTCTTTGGATCTAGCGTTTCCCCAGAACGATACCTTGCTACACTCGTGCAGCACTCTCCCACTCGGGAATCTCTCTCACGGTGTTCCATAAGGTGGATTTTTGTTCTGCTGGAGATGCAAGCAAGACTTGATGCACGCTGATTTGAAGATACCAAACAGGTGGCACAACGGCTCAAGTTTGCTGGCAGGCTCCAGATGATCATACAAAGGGCTGCATTACTGGGCACAGCCCTTCATCCTGGACTACATTCCAGAGACAGCAGAAAAGGCGGCATACGCTCAGATAGCTCCATATGTGGGCTTCTCAGCAGCCTTCCAAACTTCCTTTAAGTGTAACCCACATGGTCATTCTGGTCTGTTTACGTTAAAGTTGCCAACTAAGCTGAGGGCGCATTTGAAGCTTGGACTTCCTGGACCAAAAGATAGAAACTCTCAGCTAGCAAGTCAGTTCATAGCCAAAGCGAGCAGAATAAATCAGCAGAGATCGTACCGTCATTCTTCCCATTTATCCAAATGGTTTGAGGAGCCGCTGTGGGGAAAGTTTCCACGAGGCTGGGCACGAGGTGTTGGAACGCCGGTAGGATGTTGTAGATTGTCCAAGCCAAGTTGAGTAAAGCTGCTTCAGCCGAGTTGGATTTGACCGGCTTATGTGCAGAGACATCAGGAATCCCACAGAGTTGGACTACCTCAACTATCGCCATGTGGACTGAGGAGAAGGCAGGCAAGTTGGCAGCTGGGACGTCTACAAATGCAGCAAAATCTTGTGCCACCCTGTTGAGATCCGAACAAGACTTTGGCTGTAGAATGTGATTGTCGTGAACACATTCCTTCAATTGGGAGAGCGCTTTCCGGAAGTGGTAGCTCAAGGCGACATTGCCAGCCTCTCCTGCAGGACAACTTTCGCTGGATACATCAAGCGTCTCACCCGTGATCGCGATTCCAAACTTGTTAAGTATCTTGTTTCCTGGGTACCCCTTGATGGCACTGGCATTGGGGTATCTGTATATCCAAGCTTGCCCTCCAATTAGGAGACCTCCTCCTTCGGAGACAAACTCGTGGATTTTCTCCCTCTCGGCGTCACTGTAGGCCGTGCAGCAATAAACAGCCAGGCCGTGCTTGAGGTTAGTGAACGCGCATGGAATCGTGGCCTTGTTCAAGATGGAATACAGATTCTGCAGGCTCTGTGTGATGCCAACCATGCCTCCTTTTCCATCAGTAAGCCAGCGGATGGCATTGACCAGGAAAGCTTCCATAGATGCTGCCTCTAGTAGGGCTTCGTGGGAGGCCACCACAACGCGGCCCCTGCCATAGTACGCGGCCCCGAGAAAGGCCAGGTGGGAATCGGTTATGCCGACCGGAAAGGCTAAAGTTCCATGGATGAGGAGGCGGGCAGGGATCGCGCGCCCTGCAGGGTTGTCACCGTGTATGTTGAATTGAGTTACTCCATTTAGAAGAATCTTTAAATCCTCTTCAGTGTTCAGTCTGTGCCTATTCAAAAAGAGAGAGAACGGTTGTGAGAAGTGTGTGTAAATTTCCTTGAATGGGATTGCATCAGCCTTCACTGGCCTCGTGTCGTCCAGACATTTTGGCTGGCCGAAACTGCCCTTATAAAGCCTCTGATTCTGAGCATAATTCTCTGTCGTGTGGATCGGACAAGGTGCTACTCACATCCTAGTGGATGTGCTGGGAATAGTAGCTGCATGAGCCAGGTTTGGAAAATAATTTGGGTGGCTCATGGAAATACTGTCTTGCCTTTGGACTTCACATCCCGTGACCTACAGTGTGTTCAGTAAAGTTGTTTTTCCCGAGTGCTTGGATGGGCGTGTGCTGAATCCAGTGAGCCTGGTCCCTGGTTGTTGGGATTGGGGGATTCTGGGTGTGGGTTCATTCAGGGAGCCAAGGGAGGTGGGGACTCGAGCTCCGGAGACTCCCCTGGCCTGCTTGGCCTCTCCACAGCACCCAAGGTCTTCACAGCACGCATGGAGGGGCTTTGCACACACCTGCGGCTCCAGGGAATCCCATGCCTTCCCATATCTCGGTGACTAACTCCTGGTGCCCCTGGCCAAGATGAGACTGTGCCACACAACTCACACCACCTGCTTTCTGCTACAACACACAATAGGAATGGAGGATTTCAAAGGCAGACACGCAGCAACACAGTCATACACGCAAAACGGAAGGGAAGGAAAGGGGAATCGGAAAGAGGTACAGAAATAGAGTTCAAATCCTAAACACAATTCCCCAGCCATCGGACCGTCTCAGACTTAAAACAACCAGGCTAGCTGACGTACCACTAATACAGAATAGAATACTTAGCGGAGGTTTCTCAGGTAGTCCTACACACAACTGGCTTATTTTATTTTGACTTATTCATTCAATTTCTAATCTGCCCCATTATCCAAATGGCTCCCTGGGCAGGTTACAGCAATAGAATACAAAATAGAATATAATACAGATTAAAATGCAATATAAAACAGCAATTGCAAATGAAAAGCATCAAAACCAACACGAGGCACAGTAATGACGCTCCTGCAGCTACTTAAAACAAGTTAACAATTACCATACTGTTGAAATAGAAAGGCTTTCACTTGGTGCCTGAAAAACTGCAAAGAGGTGGACGAGCTCTCAGGAGCCCGTTCCAGAAGGGCTGCAGGAAAGGCTCTTCTTTGTGTTACCGCCTTAATTCCTGAGGGGGCTCCTTCAGAAGTGCCTCAGATGCAGATCTAAGGCGCCTTCCCCAAATCTTCATATGGGAAGACGTTCTGCTGGCTGCAAGCCATTTAGGACTCTAAATGCCAGTGTTAACACCTTGAATCGGGCCCAGACCTCAACCAGAGGACTGGTGTGAATATGCTCGGATCTGCCAGTCTCCATTAACAGTCTGGCTGTCCTGTTCAGCACCAATTGAAGTTTCTGGACCATCTTCAAGGGAGGCTCCATGCACAGCACGTTGCAGTAGTCCAGACGAGGTTCCTAGTCGGGGATCCCTGTTGCCAGGCCCCTTCCGGTTTCTCTCCGAAGAGGGAACCACCACCAGCCTGAATGGCTGCCTTTTATTTCCTCCCCGAGCATTCAGAGCCCTCAGTTCTATGGGGTGACAGCTCCCGAGGGTGAGGGCCGGGCTGTGGGCGGCAGCATGGAGGGGCAGAGGGCCGGGTCCACGCCTCGAGCTCTGGCAAGTCAGCGGATCCGGGTCAGACACGCGGATGAAAGCAGTTTGAGTTTGGTACGCACAGAGAGAGGGAGAGTCAGAGCACAGTTTCAAAGTCAGGAAGGGCGCTGGCTGGAGCAAACTGGAGCAGGCCTCGAACAAGGCAGGAACGGGCACATTCCACGGCTACAATCATGGTGGTTTTGAAAAAGTCCCTGTGCCATCAAGGGTGGGATGGGGGACAGAGGAGAGAGAGATGGAGGTAGTAAAGCAGGATTAAAAGAATGTCTTTTCAAAATTTGTCGTTTCATTTGCAGGAAAAAAGCAGGAGGAGGAGAAGAAAACTCACAGGGTTTATTGAGAGAAGCAAGGTAGGATTGCGTGGGATCATGCAGGGGGGAAAGGGTGGGGATAGTGCTTAGGGAAGTGGAGGGAAGGCAGTTCCTGGCTACACTGGATGGAGCTCTCCAGGGGCTCCCGTTCGCAATTGAAATGAGCTTTCGAAGCTTTTCCAGTTCTAGGCTCTGCACAGTGGCAGCATCCAGGGCATGGGCAGCTGCCTGGCAGAGTGGAGCACCGGGATAGTCGCAGAGGTCAGAGCCCGGGGCAGCAACAAGTCTGTTCCCGAAGAAAGCCTAGTCAGACAAGCCAGGCATCAGGAAATCGGAGACAAACCCAGGGCTGGAGCAAGCCAGGAGCACTTCAGCAAGTCAGAGAGACCTTGGTTATCAAGGCAGCTTCTGGGAAGAAAAACCGGGTCTTATGTAGCTCCTCTTCCGGGTGGAGCTCATGATAGCCCTGGAAGCTGCAGTAGATGGACCAGGACCAGGGCTGCTGTGCTGGTCCTTGACTGGCAGAAGGAGCCCTGAAGCTGCTTTGTGTCTTGAGACCCCGGTGGGGAACCCTTAGTGTGAAAGCAGAGACACCACAGAAAAGAGAGCTTGGGAAGTGTTTAGAAAGGCTGCATGTTGGTGAAGAACTCGGAGCGTAAGGAAGGGCACAGAAAGAAAACTAGGACAGAGAACGCACATCAAGGAGTGGGTCTTAATCCCACAGAGAACTCAGAAGCCTCAATAAAATGGTGGTTTCGGAGAAAAGTGCCTATTACACTCTGTGTTTGGTGATTCCTCTCCGCTTCTCTACGTTATACCTGTAGCTCATGGACTTTGTACTCTGCTTATTTGGTGTGATTTAAACAAATCTAAAGATCTTGGTTAAACTGTTACCTGGGAAGGGCAAAAGCACTCCCAGGCAATTTGTGGTCTGGAAATGACCTGAGCAGTTTCTGCCTTTTGAGGGTGGCACGCTCCACTTTCTTCTGAGCCAACTGATTTGAGTTGTGGGAACGCTCTTACCACTAAGGCAGGGGTGGGCAATTAATTTTCCTATAGGGCCACATGAGAAACTTTGACAGTTGTTAAGAGCTGGACCAATACACTTACAGCTCTGCTCAATATATATCTCTATAAAAACAGTAAATGAAACATTACAATGATGCAATGAAAATGTGGAGCACAGAACAACACTATTTAATGAATATTCACAAAAACATTAACATTACATGAAAAGAAATAAATTCAATTCAATTTTACTTACATAGCGCAAATTTACAACATATGTAATCTCCCAGCGCTTAACATAGTAAGGTACAGACCTTACGAATTAGAACAGAGAAACAGAAAACTCAACAATCCAAGTTGCCTTTGGATTCCCTATAAATGCATCCAGCTTTGTTTGTTTGCGTTACCTCAGTTCTTTTTTGTTGTTGTTCAGTGAGAGAAATCTAGTCTGTTTTGGGCTTGAACAAGTGCACCGAAGTCAGGTTGAATATCTGGTGGATATGCGAAGAACAGCACTCAAGTGATCATCCCTTAGGATCTGTATCTGGATTTGTTGAACTTCATCACTGAGAATGTTTGTTCACATGTGTAAGTGGATCCAAAGAGAACCAACATCTGAGCATGCCTCCTTAGGTTTGGAAAGCTCTCCTCTTTGAGAGAAGAATAAAAAGTCAGCAGTGATTCTGACTTAAAGTGCTCTGTCTGCAGTTTATCAGATGGCAGATCAATGAGTTCAAGCTGGACATCGCTGGGTGCAGTATTCACACTGCAGCTGAAGGGAGAGGAAATCATATGCATTTCACTCTCAGCTGTTTGGATGTCTTCAAATCGTCTTGAAAATTCGGCACACGGTGCCCCCAACATGGATGAGTACCTGTGGAGGTGATCAGCTGATGGCGTGACTCCCTTCAGTGAGGGGATGCGGGTAAGAATGTTTCCCTCGTCACCAGGCTGTACATTTCATGTGCAACGAGGTCCTTGTCTTGCAGCTTGGTATTTAGTTCATCAGTGCAGTCACATCAACAGCAAAAGTGAGGTCTGCCATCCAGTCTGCACCTGAGAGCTCGGTGATGCCCCTGCCTTTCTTTTCACAAAACGCTCGAATCTCTGCTCTTGGATCCCATACTCTTTTAAGCACCTTGCCCAGGCTGAGCCATCTGACAGCCGTCTTTTAACTGAGGTCACCATGTTCACTCTCGTGCTCCTCCAAAAAGACAACAAACTGACTGTGATTGAGTGCTCTTGCCCTGATGAAGTTAACTTTAGTTACAGCATCAATCACGTGGTTGATTTTTAGCACTGACTTGCACAACACCTCCTGATGTATAATACAACGCAACAATATCAGTTTCTATTCTGGGTTTATTTCAGTCGCTTTATTTTGCATCCGCTTCAAAAGTCCGACATTTTTCCCTGTCAAATTTGGACAGCCGTCAGTTGTAACACCAACCAAATTTAGTTCCAGCTTGTTCATGCAGGTATTTACCTCTGTGAAGGAATCACTCCCTGTCATGGTCCCTTTCATCAGCCACATAGCTGCCGAGAGCTCCTCCGTCATCTCAAAGTTTTTAGTTAATACATGTGCAAAGATGAGTAACTGGGCTGTGTCACGGACATCAGAGCTCTCGTCCAGAGCCAAGGAGAAAGCGTCAAAATTGTCCACTTTGTTTTGCAGCTGAAGCTCCAGATTTTCTGTGATGCTCTCCACCCTCCTCGTTACGGTTTGCCTGGAAAGGGGCACATTAACGAACTCCTTTTTTCTCCAGGCATAGAAGCGCTACAGAGTTCACCAGGCATTCTTTGACAAACTCCCCATCAGAGAATGGCTTTTTTTGGCGATTTTGTAGGCTATTAGAAAGCTCGTCTTGACTGCTGCATCCCCTGATGTGTGAGCTTTGATAAAAAAAAAAAAAATCCTTGCTGCTTTTGCAGCTTAGCTAGCAAAGCTTCAGATGTCCGTGTCCGCTCTGCATCAGTCAAATGTTTTTACTTCTCCACATGTTTGGTCTCGTAATGTCGATTCAGATTATAATCCTTCAGCACCGCTATCTGTTCTCCACAAACTAGGCACACAGTTTTGCCTCTGATTTCAGTAAAGAAATACTTGGAAGTCCGTACCTTGTTAAAAATTCTACATTCCAAATCTTTCTTTTTTTGGCATTAGCTGACATCTTCATGGTCTGAAGCTAACCAACAAACAAATCAGTGCATAATTCTTCTGCAAAGTATGGAAAGTAGGCCCAAAAAACATTAATTTAGCAGATCTTTCAAAATAAAAGCAGTGCAGTTGTATTGCTTGCATCTATATTACAACGATATATATTTACATTGCCTTTTAATTTGCCAGTGACCTCATGCGGGCCAGTCAGGGTCAGCCATCGACGTGGGCCGTACAATGCCCAGGTCTGCACTAAGGTGTACAGCCTCCCTGCCTTTGTTGATTCAAAGCACTAAAGTATTTGGAATGTCAGCCCAGCAAGTCAGAATATCTGGGACAAATATTTTTGTGGTAGGGCCCATCTCTGGCACATCACATTCTTCTTAAGAAAGATGTGTCCAGTTCTAACAGCAAGGTTATGAATAAGGAAGAACTTACCGGGTGATCAAGGGAATACTTGGCATTTCCTTGGGGACCGGGAAGTCCCCGTTCTGTCCCTCGTTGGCCGTGAAGTAGACTCCACCCACGCTGGTCACCTTGTTTCCAGGAAATGCGGTCACGACTTTCTTGGCACCGTGCGTGTATGACCAATACCACGCTTGCCCTCCGATGAGCAGTCCCTTGCCGTTCTTGATGAAGAGCACCAGATCCTCGGCGAGTGTGTCGTCATAGGCATCAATGCAGTACACCCCTAGAGAGTCGGCCAGCGTCATGTCAGCCTGCACCTTGACACCGTTGCTAAGGAGCATCTCAGAAAGGGTGTGCAGGCTCGGGTGGACACCCACTGGAGCTGTTGAGGATGGCTTGAGCCACTCCAGAGCATTTTTAAGGAACGGCAAGAATTGGGGAAGCTGGAGAATTGACTCGTGTGCAGCGACCACCATCCGGCCTTTCCCATACTGCGACGCAGCGATGAGGACCTGCCCGTTTGTGCTCACAAGGACTGGGAAAGCTTGGTCACCTGTCAGCAGAAGTTCACAAGGATTGAAATCTCCCTTGACTTGAAAAGACTGGATTCCTTTCACTAGAGATGCATAAGATGTTCTTGGATCCATGAGGAGATGCTGGTCTGCTCAGCTGAAAAGAAAAAAACACAGTTTAACGGGCTTGGGGTATTCATTTGCTGTTTAATCTGCCCAACGACCAAATAAAGGTTTGTGTCATTTTGCAAACTGTTCAAAACTGAACTGCTTGAACTTGAGTGTACTCCGCAAAATGAACAGGTGAGAAATGGATGACCCTATCAGTGGCACCATTTAAAAAAATACAGAATTGTCCCCAAGCAGAGAAACTGAAAGAGGTGGCATTTTATTTGTTCATCGTATGGCACACTCACATCACACTTCAATTAAAAAAACACAGGCATAAAAGCATGACATACAAAATACAAGATTCAAAACATTATGAATGTATATCGAAACTACAGATAAAAATCTGACATTCCTTAAGTCAAGCGTGTGCCCTGGACACTGCTAAAGAACACTCCCTGCAAGGCAAGACATCTGAAGCCTTGAAGATGCCGCAGCCAGTTAATCCTAGTGATTTCCTGGTGGTGAACTGGCTATATCACATCCTGTTTCGTAAAATATATATCATCCCTATTTTGCAAATGGGATGGGATTGTGCTAAACTGAGCTGGGAAGTAACATTTGGAGACTTCTTCAGCCTCCTGGGGGTTTTGCCTTTCAGAATGGGGGGAAATGCACAAAAGCCAGAATTTGGTGGCTGAGGCAGAGGAGGAGGGGAAAGGGATGTAACCTGGGGAAATTGGTTGCTGGCCAGATCTGGATCCTATCAGTCCAGATCTGAATGAGACCCCCAGGGCCTGTGGTTCTATGTCGTGCATGAAGCCCCGACAGAAACAGTGACTTACGAGGAGGCCTTGCGCTTGGCACCCAGTACCCAAGAGTCGACCCCACAACCCAACGCAGGGACGGCCGAGCCAGCCGAGCCAGCTGCTGCGTCTTCCCCTGAGCCCCAGCACGTTGAGCAAACGCCTGGACCTTTACCAGAGACAGAGAGTCCTGAGAAAGAAGAAGCTGCAAGTTCTACTCAGAAGGAGGCAGAGCAAACTGCCTCTTCCCCCTCTGATGCTGATCTCTCTGAGCCGGAAACTGCCGGAAGACACAATAGCTGTTGTGGTTTCTCAAAAGCCGAAAACAGACGTTATTTACGCAGATATGAACAGCGGCGAAGTTTATTACGTAAGAGGGAGGAAAGGCGTGACTTGGGAGAGTGATCCCACGTGGGCTTGGGAAGAAAAGCCATTAGAGAGTTAACAACTGCTTAGCAAGGACCGCTATTAGGGAACTTATCTATAGAGTTGTAAATCTTGTAGACAATTAGCATTAAAGGACTTGAGTTTTATTGCTCTAGAATGTGTGGATTGTTTACATACCAGGCTGCACGCCTCGACAGCCTCGACATTCTACACCGCTGAATGATTCTGTAGTGTAAAACTGGGAGATGGTGGTGATGGTGGTTATTTTTTTAGTCAAAATTCATGCAGCTCCAATTGGATTAATACTGCGATGCACCTGAAGGGAAGGGTTTACTCTTTCCCCTCCATGCGATTTCCTTCTCGAAATTCTCACTTTTGTTTGTTTATCTCATTTATACGCCACACCATAAATTAAATAAATTTTATTCATTTAATTTATGAAATAAATTATTAATGATAAATAAATACAATAATAAATTGCTATAATTAATAAAATAAAATAATTATTATTATTAGATTTTTAACTCACTCTATTAGCCACATGGCTCCCTGGGCAGGTTACAAACAATAAGATTGTATGATAAACTATGCAAAATATTAAATACTCAATATGAATCACCTAAATAACAAGAAAAGCACACATATGTCACATCTTAACCTGTGTTTACTTAAAAAGCATAAAATATATCACCATTAGGACCAACTCACAATTAAAATACTGGAGAAATAAAGATTTCTTTGCCTGGTGCCAAAAGAACAGAGGGCAATAGCTGAACCTGTCTGGGGCGCTTGTTCCAAAGTTGGGGTGCCACTCCTGGAAAGCCCCTTACCCTTGTAACCCTTGTAGGTTCCCTTCCCCATGGTGGGTGTAGTGAAAGATTTTTAAAGGTCTCTGGGCCATTGGGGCTCTCACTCGGGGATTCATGACCCCCCCAGGGTAGGAGGGGTTCTTGGAAAGCAAGCGGGGTGTGTGAGTTGAAGAGTTAACCCTTTAGTCCCAGTGTGTCCTGGTCGCACATTTACACTAGAATATGGAAAAAGATGGTCATAAGATACATCCAGAATCTCTGGGAAAGCTGCGACCATACCTCATTCTACATCGAGCGCTAGACAAAAAGCACAGACATAATTCAAATTCATATTCTGTATTGACCAGTATAAACTACTTGAGTCCTTTCTACAGTGCCCTAAACAAGATAGGATTTGAGTATATTAGATACTACAGTTATTAGCCCAACATTAAAAAGATGGTACCGAGTTAGGGATGAAAATAAGGCATAAAATGTCAATAGAGAGGCACTGACGTAGCCTTATTGTCTTGCTATGGAATTCCCTGTAGAACATTAACTTAAAAACATCAACAACTGTATTATAATGAGCGGTGCAGTATAACATCTCTGATGGTCCAAATTAAAAATTGTCATGGTCTAAACATCTTTTTCCAGGTGTTAATCGTGGTCACAAAAAACTTAGCGACGCAGCACGTAAGTGGGATTACAGTCTGATAGCAGCAGATGGCTGGAATACTGATTTGTATGCTCTGGGATCCTATTCAGCAATGGGGAAATGAAATCGGCACAAATGTATCTATAGAGCATACAACTAAACAGAACATGCTCCGTGGTTTGAGTTCGTCCAGAGCTGCAAGGGCCCTGTAGCCACTCTATGAACGACATCATCTTGTACTGGCCCTCTAGGACTGCTGAAGGAAGTCCGCCATGGCAAGCCAACATTTGGGAACTTCCAGCGGAGCAAGAAGGGATCTACGGACAACAGTATATCTCCAACCCTAATATAAAATTCATTTAGGCTGCTCAAATCTCTATGATGCACCGTGTCTACGACTCGCCATTTAATAGCTGTCTTAGCCTGATCAAAACCTATACGTAACACAGTTTATTCATTAAAAGAGCAGGTTGCTTACTTGTAACGGATGTTCTTCGAGTGGCCATCTGTGCAGTCACACATACAGGTTCTGTGCCTGCGCAGTGCCGTTGGCCGGAAGATTAACAGCTAACGGTTTGGCCGGAAACTCCGCTCCCCCTCCCTACTAGCAGTATATAAGGAGTGGAGTGTCCGCCATTTTCCAGTCTTTGACAGACCAGACGTTCGCTCCCTAACAAAAAGTTGTAAAAAGAACTAAAGTAACAGGAATTTTTTAAATTTTTTTTTGGTCGGTATGTAATAAAACAAAACCTCTCGGTGATACAACAAGCAGAGAAATTAGCTCGGTACCGAAAAAAAGTGGGACCACCCATGACAACAAGTGGGGCCTGCGGGTGGGTTGTGTGACTGCACAGATGGCCACTCAAAGAACATCAGTTACAGGTAAGCAACCTGCTGTTCTTTGTCATGGCCTCTGTGCGTCACACATATGGGTAGAATAACAAGCTTACCCGAAATGGCAGAGGGAGGTGTCATCAGCGAAGAATAGATGAAAGATTGGCTCTGGCGAAAGAACAGTCCTGTCTAGCACGAACATGTCTTGCAAAAGTACAAGTGGCAGCTCTGCAGACATCCTCAGTCGGGACTCCTGACGCGAAAGCTGAAGAGACAGCTACAGCCCTAGTGGAGTGGCCCCTTGGAGTTGTCGGTAAGTCTATCTTGGCTAACTGATAAGATAGAGTAATAGTGTTAACTATCCATTTAGATCGTCTCTGAGGAGTAACTGGGAAGCCTCGGTTTTGTTCCGAATATTTAATGAAGAGTCTGTTAGAGTGACGAAAAGACGCAGTCCTTGATCTGTAAAAAGCTAGGGAACAAACATCTAGCGTATGCAGAGACTTCTCAACTGGATTCGAAGGAGCCAGAAAAAATGCAGGCAAGATAATTTCCCGATTCATGTGGAAAGAGGTAGCCACCTTTGGGAGAAAAGACGGATCCATTCTTAACACTACCTTCTCCTTGTGAAAATTCAAAAACAGAGGATCTACTCTGAGGGCGCAGAGTTCACTAGATCTACGGGCTGAAGTAACTGCTATAAGGAAGGCAGTTTTCCAAGAGACAAGACGTAGATCAATTGTTGCCAGGGGCTCAATTGTTGCCAGGGGCTCAAAAGGAGGCCGTGTTAGTGCCTGTAGTACCACTGAGAGACTCCCAAGTGGGCATAAATGGCCTAATTGTTGGATGGAGATTGCAAAGTCCTTTGAGGAATCTCTTAATCAGTGCTGAGAGAAAATGGAAAACCCCAGCACAGTCCCGTGGTAATAGGAGATTGCCACCGTATACACTTCTATGGAGGAAGGTTTAAGACCAGAATGGTGAAGCTCGAAGAGAAACTGGAGGATCTGATCTATAGATGCGGAGGGCGCTGAAATTCGGCAAAACTGAAGAATTTATGCCACTGTGCCACATAAGATTTTCAAGTGGATGGTCTTAATGCGGAGTCGAGAATATATTGTATATCAGGATGCAAAGCTTGCGAATCCGACAGCATATTCACTGGATCTGACGAGGCAGAGGCGGTAGGCGAATTCACAGCATGGACCTGTGTGTCGGTGGTAGGAACGGAATGAGGAAGGACTGCAGATGGGATCAATACCGAGCCAGCGTGCAATGCCATCGAATTCGCCAGACGGTCAGTTTCAGCGACGGTAGGTCCGGGTGTCGGATCGAGCCCTCCCGCTGAGTTATATGATAGGGGACAGGTGGAAGCTGAAGGTATTCCTCCCGAGAAATATGAAGAAGTGTCGAGAACCATGGCTGGCGTGGCTACCAAGGAGTTACCAGTAGCCCCGTGGCCCCGTCATGAATCACTTTTGATAGTACTCTCATGATGAGGGGAATTGGGGGAAAGTGTAAAAGATCATATCGCTCCAGGGAATCATGAAGGCATCCCTGGACGACCCCTGCCCGATTCCCGTCCTCGAACAAAAATTCTCGCAAACCCTGTTTTGTTGGGTGGCGAACAGGTCTATATCTGGGAGGCCCCATTGCTGGAATAGCCTGTCGCAAATCTGGCGGTCCAGTTCCCATTCATGTGACCGTGACATGTGACTGTTCAAGAGATCTGCTTCCACATTGTCCGTGCCGTGAGATGTACTGCAGTAAGAGTGATACCTCTCAGTATGCACCACTCCCAGCTTCCCATTGGCAAACGGGCTAATTTCAGGGACCTTGTCCCCCCCTTGTTTGTTTAAGTAAAAAACTGTGGGTATGTTGTCCGAGGTTACCTGGTCAACCTGACGGTGAAGCACGTCCTCGAATGACTGTAGTCCTTTGAACACAGCGAGAAGTTCCAGGAAGTTGATATGGTTCCTGGAGTCCTGACAGTTCCAAACCCCCTGGGTGCGTAGGCCAGAGCACAGGGCTCCCCATCCCAGAAGGGATGCGTCAGTACCGAGAGCCACTGTCAGATATCAAGGCCGAAACGGGACTCTGATGTTTAGGTTGCTTGACTCTGTCCACCATGGTAGAGACTGAAGAATGGAGGACGGGAGTCAGAATCTGCTTTGTAGGTGGATCCTTTTGTGGTCGGAACCTCCCATTGAAGGACAATTGGAGGGGGCACAGTCGAAGTTTGGCATTTGGGACTACGGCGATAGACGCTGCCATATGTCCCAACAGTCTTTGAACAGATGGGGCAGGAACAATTCCTTCTCGTCGAATCCGGCGAATGTGTCGAGCGATAGCACGTTGTCTGTCTCAAGGGAGGAAGGCCTTCGCCACCATAGAATCCAGTCGGGCTCCAATAAAGTTGATTGTCTGTGTAGGGAGAAGAGAAGGTTTCTGATGATTAATGCAAAGTCCAAGGTCTTGCAATAAGTCACAGGTCATATTTACAGCGGAGCTAAGTCCTTTCCTAGTCCAAGACACCAACAACCAATCATCGAGGTATGGGTATATCTGAGTTCCACGTAGTCGAAGGTATGCACAGATGGGAGCCATACACTTTGTGAAGACCCTCGGTGCGGTGGCCAGTCCAAATGGCAGCATCTTGAAT